CAAAAAAAAAAAAAAAAAAAAAAAAAAAAAAAAAAAAAAAAAAAAAAAAGCTTCCTTCCTGCTTCTTCTTCTTCGGTTATATTTGGCGGTGGCTAACAACAACTTGGTGCATCAGCGCCACCATCTGGTAAAACGTTTGTACTGAAGCGACGCTCAAAAATAATAAAAAAAAAAAAATAAAATCGTATATTCCTTGAAACAAACAAGTCTGTTTCAGATATTGTGTTAAAGCCTGAGTACCATTAAATTTTGAATTATGCAATAATTCAATTGGATCAAGCCTTACATTTATTTTAGTGAGACTGTCAATCAGTTGAGTTCTTTCATATCTGTATACTGGCAGTACAATAAAGTATGCTCTATTGTCTCATTGTCTCCACAGTATTCATATTTACCTTTATTATGTTTCCCTATTATGAATAATGTTTTATTTAATCCCATGTTTCCATATCTGAGACGTGATATGACCATTCCTCCCTCCAAACAATCTCTCATCGGCAAACAAATCCAAAAAACGTTGCGGAACATAGAGAAGAGCAAACGCAAAAACATTGTCATCCCATATGTTGCTGGAGTATCTAAAAAACTCTGAAGGTTTTTCTCCTAACACAGCATCCTAGTAGATTTTAAATCCAATAGGACACTCAGACAGAGGCTGGTCCATCCCAAGCACAGAATCCCAAACCCAAACTGTTCTATGTGGTGTCTGCAGTTCACTGCAGTGAGGAATGTTCAGACCTCTATACTGTATTGGAGGAACTTAACAAACTCTCCACAGAGAAATGGCTCAGCACAGGAGAGTAGCGCTTCAGGCCAAGACTCAACAGCCCACCTACATCTCAAGGATAATTTTGAGGACCTAAATGTTCATATTTTAGACAGAGAAGACAGAAGGTTTGAGAAGAGGATGGAGGAAGACATTTATGGCATAAGAGAAAGAGAAAAAAAAACTTTAAACAGAGGAGGAGGTCTCAGATTTCAACTTTCAAAAACTTGTAATGCAGCTTTAGGCCCATTAGCTCACTCTAATTCACACCTTCATGCATTTGACCAAAACATCTCTCTCTCTCTCTGTGAGCCAGGCATAAAGAACATAACGAGCCTCCATTGTGCAGAGTGAGTAGTTCCTGCCTCTCATACAGTTCTATAAAGCTGGAACTCCACACACTCCAGATATTTTTGAATTGATAAAACCTCCAGGATGGTAAGCGAGACGTCTTCAGCTTCACAATAGAAGTCCAGTTGTTTTCTGTTTTTTAACCGTTTCTTCTTTTTATATGGATCCATCCATGTTTCTTCCTTTCTAAAACCACTTTGGAAATTTGACACACTGTACATCCTCTCTATGTAGTACGCCAATCTTTTATTTATGACTCTGTCCACAATTTTGCTAATATTAGATAATGTGATTGGTCTTTATCCAACAAGGTTAAGTCAGGTCCTCTGGATGGATTCTTTGTTGAAACGTTTTGTCTTTTATCCAGAAGACTTCTTTAGTTTGAGGAGCTGCAACAAACTCATAAACAGCACCATCTCATAGTATTATGAGTTGTGTCTTTAAGAATCTGCCCTGAACTGAGGAGATCTCTCCTCCTCCTCTTCCTCCTCGTCTCCGGAGCTTCACACCCTCAGCAGACTTTACTGTCACCTTCAGCTGTATTGAAAATATCTTTTTAAACTACAGTATATGAAATATTAATTCAATCTTTATTTAAACAGGTTCGTCCCATTGAGCCACAAGGACTCATTTACAAGAGAGACCTGGACAATATACAACATATTTGTTATTTATATGAATAAATGTTGTCTTATTTGGTTCATTTATGATTCATTTCACATTTAAAACTTTTTATTAAAATAAAACATTTTAATTTGTTTTAAGAATTGCGCAATTACTGTTATTTTTGTTGTTGTTGCTCCAGTTGTTTTTTAGTTTTTCTTTTGATCGTATATGCATATATAAAATATGCATCCAGGAATAACCATTATTAACAAGTTTGTTATTGTTATTTGGGAATTTCTGATTTTACTACCCTAAATTTGTATTATTCTAATAGAATATTTCCTAAAACTTGCTGCTGCGCTGCCACTTTGATAAAAACAGTTGTCATAATTAAGAGATACTATCTTAAAATAACGATTTAGCGTCATATAATTATATTTTTGTATCTCAAAATTTTCAAACATTCCCTCATAAATAGATGACACAAAGTAATAATTATGAAATGTGTCGTTATGAGACGCTGCCACAGTTGGTGGTAGATTTAGACCCAGAATGCAGACTGACGCGAGAAGCTCCAAAATCCATTTATTTAAAAAATAAAATAAAAAACAGCCTGACAAGGCAGCAAAACTTACAAACTTGAGAAATCACAAGGAAAAATATCACAGGAGTATTAGGATCACTGAAAGGAAACCAGATCAGTGGCATGAAGACCACAATGCACTACTGAGGTGGAGATGGCAAGAGGCTGATTATAGCTGATGACATATTGGAGACACCTGATTGTTGACTGGAAACAGCTGACTAAGAAAAACAGTGAAGAACTGACTGAGGATGAGTGAGAGAGGGCACAGGGAACACAGAGGAGCTGAACAGGAAACAACAGGAATACCAATAATCCTAATGATAAAACAAAAAAAAAACCCATAAACAAACCAATAAAAAACACGGATCCCGACAGATGCCAAGTCGTGATTTTGTGATAGGGTCTCATAAGTTAACTGCTCAGTCGATGGATGGATTACATTCATCTTTAAACGGAGACATTCTGATATTGCAGCAGCTTGTGAAAAGACGAGAACACAAAAATACACCAAAATATCAATTAAATAAAATATTTCCGTACAAACAAAATATTTTAAGTTAATTACTCTCATAAATTAACAAATGTAATGTAAATGGAGTCACAATTGGAGAGTTATAAGGATCAGAATTGATTAGAATACAGTAGTTACAAACACTGAGACTGATGACAAACAGGCAGGTGGGAGTGTGCGTGGCAGTAACGGAACTGAGGAGTGCACAGACGAAGAAAAAGAATTAAAAAACATCACCAACCTTTGTCTTTGGCACTGCCCTTAGTTTAGCAGGTTTATTAATAACAATATTTTAAAGGATTTTTCCTTACGTAAAGGTTTTATTTTGTTTTTCTAGATTCACCAGAAAGGATGCTAAATGGTTTTTTTAATATAATAAACTTGCTAATTCTTTTGGACAAATTTTACATTCATAAATGTAAATTTATTAACAAAACGCCAGGTTTTCTTCATTTTATTAAGGATGTGGAACTAAATTAATAACAGACTCTACCAACAAAAAGGTCCTCAGGACAATTTCTATCTGTAAATCTTTGCAAATATTTGTCTAATTAACACCCCTGGTTGTTTGTTCATGGAAGGGTTGTGTTCTTCTGTATAACACCACTCTCCATTTGTTTGTTGTACACTCGCCATTTGCTTAAATAAAGATAAAAAAAAACTGTCTTGTTCCAAAATTAAAACTGATAAATGTTCATAAAATGAAAAAAAAATCACAATGCCATTTGTAAACCTTACCCTAATTTATAATTTTACTAATACTAATGAAAATTTTAAGCTTTGTGAAAAGATGTCTCATCAAATCATTCCGACTACCGTTTGTTTCCGCCGGAGTAATAATAAGGAACGGACCACAACAGAGAAGCGCCTAGTGGCGGTTTGTCACCCTTCCAAGAGACGATTAACCTTTTAATTCAAGCGTATATATTATTTTGGTAGTTTTAAAAATAAGAGGAAATGCTCAGTTAACTCGACATGTTGTTCGCTAAACTGAGCAGCAGGTTAACTTTAACCACCTGCTGTAACTACTTCCTCCAAAACCAAACAACCGGAACTATAAATGGTTTCCACTCGAAGTCTGCTGTGCTGAGAAGGTTGTTATGCAGCCAGAGTCCAATATGTTCATCTGTAAAACGACAAGAAAAACGTGTGACTGGGAAAAGGTCGTTCAGCCTTTCTGCTGCTTCTGTCGTGGATTCAGCACCAGCTGCTGTTCAGCCATACCTGCGACTCATGAGGCTGGACAAACCCATCGGTTTGTACTTTTAGTATTTATTACAACACTTATTTTATGTAAACAGCTGTCTGGAAAATTAAATCACGAGTTTTATAGTAAAAAAAATGCAGTATTTTTTAGTAATTAAGCTGGTAATTTTATTACAAACCAGCAGAAGTAATCGGATTTTCAGCCACATTGAAAAAAAAATCATTGCATTATTATAAAAAAAAATAAAAAAACAGACCAAAAAAACAGAATCACGGGGATTAATGTGGAACACCTAAATGCTCAACATTAAATAAATAAAATAAAGTATTGTGAAATAAGTATCTAAGCTATGAAAAAAAAATTGTTTTTAATATTTAATTTCATAAGTGTGTTTCATGGCTTATTTATTTCATAATTGTGTTTTTCATAAGACCAAAGTTAAAAATAATAATAATATTTTTATAAAGTGAGTCATAAAAAATACAACTCCTATCCAATAAAATTTTGTTTTTGAATTTTTGCTCAAAATGTTGTTTATTTTTAAATAAATAAATTGATTGCTTATTTTTTTTCTCTAATTAAGCTGCTATAAATTGTATTGCTTAACTCCAATAAGTTGTCATTGCTACCGATACAATAAAATGTCCATATTACTGATGAAGCGTAGCACTGGTATCACTTAAAACCAGTAGTCCAAATATTGTGCTTTTAGCAAATTGGAACTGTAAATAATGTTTCTTAGTCATTAATTTAAAACAAAGGCAGCAACATTTTCTTTTAAATTCAGTCCAGCAGCTGCTGCACAAAGTTTTCTTTATTTATTAAATCTAATAACTATAACATCAGCACTAGTTCAGATCTAATGCTGAGACAACCCCAATTTATAGTTTATTTCTGATCAGCTCCTTTTAGTTCAAATTTTAATGTCTTTTAAATACCGGTAGTTGTGTCTGTTTTGCAGGAACATGGCTGCTGTACCTTCCTTGCACATGGAGTATTGCTCTGGCTGCAGAACCTGGATGTCTCCCAGACCTGGGCCTGCTGGCTCTGTTTGGTACAGGTGCTCTGCTCATGAGGGGGGCTGGCTGCACCATCAACGACATGTGGGATAAAAACTTTGACAAACAAGTAAATGAGAGCAACATGCAGTTTTTATTTTGTGCACATAAAGTATTTTCTTAATTTGAGTTAGAAAATAGGGAATAGTTACATTAGGACAGTGAGCTATGACTTTCTTTTAAAATCACAAGTTGAATACATTTTAAATATTTTCCGAGTTATGTAACTTAAAAAATATTAATCATACTCCTCAAAGTATAAATATAGTGTACCTTTGGTCATAATAAACAAAGATGAGACATAATTTTTGTAGCTGTAAAGTTGTCAGTCACATAATTATAGTCAAAATGCCAAATTTGTTGCAGCTTTACAACAAAAATGTCACATTTTTATTATAATTGTCATCTGTTTGATGGGAATTTGGATGTTTTTGTGTAGGTGTCCCGGACAGCGTCCCGCCCCATCGCAGCAGGGCAGATTTCCCGAATGCAGGCAGTAGTTTTCCTCGGAGGACAGCTGTCTCTTGCACTTGGGGTTCTTTTGTGCCTCAACTACTACAGGTAATCAGAAGCAGATCGTATTGTCATCAAGATTTAAGTTGGCAGATTTGTTTACTATTTTTATGTTTATTGTGCAAGATGGAGATAAAAATCACGTGTTTAGTCTAAACCGAGACGACTGGGGATCTATGTAATTGTTTCTCACACGTTTGTTTCTACCAGCATAGCTCTGGGTGCCTCATCTTTGATTCTTGTCATCACCTATCCATTAATGAAGAGAATCACTTATTGGCCTCAGTTTGTGTTGGGTATGTGCTGTATGAAACGTTTTTGTCTTTTTTCTCTTTTGAAATGTGTCTAAAAAGTATAGTAAAATAAAAACTATACTTTTGATTCTTTTCTTCAGGGCTGACTTTTAACTGGGGGGCTCTGCTCGGCTGGTCCGCTGTGAAGGGCTCGTGTGATTGGTCCGTGTGTCTCCCGCTGTATTTCTCAGGAGTGATGTGGACGCTGATATATGACACCATATACGCTCATCAGGTGAGAAGCATCAGTGTATCTTATTAAGTATAATCTTGGGATATTGTTTGTCATCGCATAGAATTTGATGTGAAATTCACTATTTTGATAGTTTTTTTTCTATATTAACTAATGTAGTTTAAAATACATCTAGTATCAAGTATTTATCAATCACAGCTACGATTTACAGTATAATGATTGTTTTTTATGCTTTTTGTTGCTGTTGGTTAATTAGATGGGGGACTTGAGATTTTTAAAGTGAGGTGGTGTTTTTCCTTCCAGGACAAAGATGATGACCTTAAGGTTGGGGTAAAATCCACTGCTCTAAAGTTCCAGGAGCAAACCAAACTCTGGCTGAGTGGTTTCACGTTGGCCATGATGGCAGGGCTGGTTGTAGCCGGCGTCAACGCCGAACAAACTCTGCCTTACTACGCTGCACTGACCACTGTGGCCGGTCACCTCACACACCAGGTGAGGAATCTGTCTAATATGAATGCTCATCAACAGACGTAGTTTTATTTTTTGTAACACACTGTTTTGAAATACAGTACCATCTTAATTAAAAAGAAGTTTCAAGTTCAGAATTTTCCTTAAAATATCTGCTCCCATTTGTTTTTGTAGATTTACAAAGTGGACATCAACAGAGCAGACGACTGCTGGAAGCAGTTTAGCTCCAACAGAAACCTGGGACTCTTGTTGTTTTTAGGCATCGTTGCAGGAAATTTGTGGAAAGAATAAAGTCGGGCGCTGCAGCAAGATGAAGTAATCAGATAAGAGAATCAATCAGCACTTTCTGCTGTTATTTTTAACTCTCAAAATATATATATTTATTATTTTTAAGGTGGGTTCTTAAATGTTTTTTGCTTTGTTTGTATGTTTTACCATCATGAATGCTGTAATTTGGTTAACAATTTATGAATCTGTTATCCATCTCAGCCTTTCTCACATGATCCCAAAAGGCAAAGGCTGACGATAACATCTTTGTTTGTGCGTTTAAGTTCCGGTCTATTGACAAAGTATTTCAAGAACCACTGAACAAATTTTAATTAAACTTGCAGGAAGTAATTTGACTTTTTTCATACAACATGAAATGGCTACTTTCAATCATTTATGGAGTTGTCTGCCACAGATAATCGCCATTAGCCAACACAAAAATATCTACAACTGTCATTTTTACAGATATTGTGCTAAAATTATATGTGGTAGTAGCTGAGAATTGTTCACAGCACAAACTGTGAGGGTAACATTTTGCAGTATTGTATGAGATCATGCGTTATTTTCAAGGTTTGACCAAAACAGTTAGAACTCTGCCATTTCTCAGCATAATTTGATTTTAGTCTAATGAAAGACGGCCGTCGATGTGCTGCATTCCTTCAAAAAGTGTTGGGCCTTTCTGAGTGAAAAAACGTTCTATGTGAAAGTTGGAGACAAACAAGTGTGTGTGTGTGTGTTCATTTCTAAAATGCGTGCCAGTTCTCTGTACAAGAATACATTTTGTTCCCAATATAAATTTATCATCCTTGACTCGTGTTGGAAGCAGCTATTAAAAAAACAATAAAAATAGGCAAATGATCAATTACCTTTCTTCCCTGCAGACAAATTCCAGTTCTGCAAAGTTGATGTTGTGTTTGGCGTATTGAGAGGTAGAACGTGACAACAAAATCTCGTTTGTCATTGTCAAATGTCATTTTAAGTAAATACAGGTAGCTCATTAAATTCTTGGTTAAAGCAGAAATACCTGTTTTAATTTTTTCTCGAAGAGCTATAAGTCTTTCAACAACCAATTTGTAGAAAGATTCATGTTCAGAAAACCTTGGCTGAATGCAGAGGTGCGCACCCTGCTGGAAGCCAGGAACACTGTCTTCAGATCTGGAAACTCATAGGAGCTGAGAAGGACGAGGAAAGAGCTGGTTGCTGATATTAAGAAGGCCAAGGCCACATATGCACAGAAGATCGAGGGTCAATTCACCTCACAAGACCCTCGGAGCATGTGGAGGGGCATTAAGTGCATAACAGATTATAAAGGAAGGAGTGAACAATGCCCCAAAGACCCACCTCTGCTTGATGCCCTCAACAAGTTCTATGCACACTTTGAAGACCCGAACAGTCCACCCAGCACCAGACTCACCTCACAACTGGATGAAGAGCATCTCAGCGTAACCTCAGCTGAAGTAAGGAGTATTTTCAGGAGGATTAATCATGTGGTGGTGGGATGCATCACAAACAATGATGAGTCCAGCTACAGGCAGGAGGTGGAACACCTGGAGAGCTGGTGCAAAGAGAATAACCTTCACATCAATGTGAAGAAGACAAAGGAGATGATTGTGGACTTCAGAAAGAACAAACACCCCCTGAACATAAAAGAGGATCTGCAGTGGAAGTGGTCTCCAGCTACAAGTACTTGGGTGTACACATGAATGACAACCTCAGCTGGAGCAACAACACCACCAGCCTGATCAAGAAAGCTCATCAGAGACTCTACTTCCTCAGGCGGCCGAGACGAGCTGGTCTGGGAAGTTCAGTCCTCACCTCCTTCTACAGGTGTGCAGTGGAGAGCATCCTGTGCTCCAGCATCAACGTGTGGCATGGAGGCTGCACAGCTGCAGAAAGAAAAGCTTTGCAGAGAGTGGTGAAGGCTGCACAGAAGTCTGCTGGAGTCAGCCTCCCCACCATCACAGACATCTACACCTCCAGATGCAGGAAGAGGGCCACCTGCATCATGAAGGACCCACTCACCCAGCACACACACTTTTTGCCCCGCTCCCCTCAGGAAGAAGGTTGAGGAGCATTAAGTGTAGAACAACTAGACTGAGGAACAGCTTCTACCCTGAGGCTGTTAGACTCATGAATCTAACTAGAATAATCACTGTGAAGAATCACATCATGTTTCTGATCTGTTTCATGTTGAGGTGTTCATGCGTGCTCATCTGCTCACACAGACTCATGTTCATGCTGCTGTTCGACGTAATGTTTTTATACTATTAGTGCTTAGTGTATTTTTAGTTGATGTTTTTCTTAGTTCATATCTTAGACGTTCTCATTGTTTTTCTTTTACATTTTATTGTTGGATGTAACTGGGACCCTGTGTACATAATTTCTCTCCACCACATGTACCACATGTGGTGCAAATGACAATAAAGGATATCTGACTCTGATGTTCAACCAAAGTGTCCACACATTTTAAGATCCTCCTCAAGCTATCTGCTGACTGCACTGCAAGCTGTAGGCAAATTAATCAAATTATGAAAAATGTAACTTTCAGCTTGTGTTTGTTAAATTTAGCTGTTTTAAAATCTCAATTAGCATTTTCCTACTTTTATTTTTCTAACTTTTTATATGTTTAGTCTGCCTTTCACTACTTTCCATCCATCCATTATCTTTACTCGCTTCTTCTCCTTTTCGGGTCACAGGGTTCACTGGTGCCCATGTCCAGCGGTCACCAGATGAGAGGTGGGGGGCACCCTGGACATGTCTCCAGTTCATCACAGGGACACATAGAGACAAAACGAGACAACTATTCACTCTCTCACTCACACATAAGAACCATTTAAAGTTACCAATCAGCCTAACATGCATGATTTTGGTCTGTGGGAGGAAACCGGAGCACCCGGTGAAAACCCACACACGCACGGAGAGAACATGCAAACTCCACCCAGAAAGGCCCCGGGCTGGGTTTTGGACCGGGGCAACCTGCTCGCTGAGCGACAGCAGCCCTACCAACTGAGTCACCGTGCTGCCCTACTTTCAGCTAGCCTTTTGACAGTGTTGCAATGTAACAAAGTAGAAATACTTTGTTACTGTACTTAAGTAGAATTTTGACGTATCTTTACTTAATCATTTACATTTCTAGTGACTTGTACTCCACTACACTTCCTCAATAAAATGTGTGCTTTTACTCCATTTTCCCTTAACCATCTTTGTTACTCATTCCTACAATATAAAATTAGAAGAAATCTGATTGGGCAATGCCTGTTTGTTCTCCCAGTCTGTGACTTCACGCGGCCCCTTCTCTCTTCCTCACTGACACTCTCACTCACAAACCCAGCCTCTCCCCCACTGCTTGTGTGAAAACTGCGGTTCATGCTGTGAACAACTAGATGCATATGCAGATATCAATCGTTACAATAGGTCTTCGCATCTGGCATAAAAACAATTTCCAAGTCTCCCTGAAGAATGGAGCAGCCAAAAAAAAAAAAAAAAAAGCTAGCATGTTCCAACTTTTAGCTAGTGTTTGGCTACATATAGCTTTTAGATAACCATTATTGTCAATCTCTTCACACGTCAAAAGTCCAAGTTTCTTTATTTGTCATACGCACCACATGTGGTACACGTGGTGGAACGAAATTGTGTACACAGGTTCCCATTTACATCCAACAAAAGTATAAAAAGTAAAAGAAAAAACATAAGATCTAATATATGAACTAAGAAAAACGTTAGACTAAAAATACGTTAAGCACTAGTAGTACAAAAACAATACGCCAAACAGCAGCACGAACATGAGTCCGTGTGAGCAGATGAGCACGAATGAACAGAGCAGCATGAACTAAATCAGCCGCATGATGTGATTTTTTTCACAGTGATTATTCTAGTTAGAGATTCATGAGTCTAATAGCCTCAGGGTAGAAGCTGTTCCTCAGTCTAGTGGTTCTACACTTAATGCTCCTCAACCTCCTTCCTGAGGTGAGCGGGGCAAAAAGTGTGTGTGCTGGGTGAGTGGGGTCCTTCATGATGCAGGTGCACCCTCTTCCTGCATCTGGAGGTGTAGTTGTCTGTGATGGAGGGGAGGCTGACTCCCAACAGACGTCTGTGCAGCCTTCACCACTCTCTGCAAAGCTTTTCTTTCTGCAGCTGTGCAGCCTCCATGTCACACGCTGACGCTGGAGCGCAGGATGCTCTCCACTGCACACCTGTAGAAGGAGGTGAGGACTGAGCGACTAGTCTAGCCTCAGCCGCCTGATTTCACACTTTTACGTTTAGCTAATATTTTGATACTAAGCTAGCATTTTGCTATTAGCCTTGTGCAAGTTTGACTTAGCCGTTTATAACTTTAGCTAGCCTTTTGCTACTCATAGCTTGTTTTGCTACATTCATTCGAGAGACCTGATTTCAACAAAGAATGATGACAACAATGGACAACAGCGACAACAATAAACAGTTATAAAAAGTCATACTACAGTTTTTTTTTTTTTGTTTTTTTTATAACAAATAGGATGGCTAAAAGAATAAGGTAAAAAAAAAAAAAAAAAAAAAACCAGCTAGATTGTAAGGCGAATGTAGAAAACTAAAAACAGGAACATGTCTGCATTGGTCCCTGCCAGGAGTCCAACAGATTCTTAAAGCCACTTAGAGAGGTCAAGGTCGAGAGCTTCAATTGTTTTTGTAAGATATTCCAGGAAACAGGAGCGTAGTAGGAGAAGGCCCTTTTGCCTAGTTCAGTCCTCATTGAGGGAACACTGCAGGTAATAATGTCCTGAGATCGCACGCCGTAGCTGCACTCACGCAGAGACACGTAGGAGGAGATGTATGAAGGCAGCAGATTCATATTTTACCTTCAAATCCAGTTCAAAATACTACTGCATGTCTACAAATCGCTGAACAGTGTCCCCCCCCCCCCCCCCCCCAATCTCTCTGATCTGCTACAGCCGTATGTCCCACCACGTTCCCCGAGGTCAGCGGACCAGTTGCTCCTCACAGTTCCAGGAACTCGTCTTAAGCGCAGAGGTGACAGGGCCTTCTCTGTAGCAGGACCAAGACTTTGGAACGAGT